TGGGCATTTCAATCAGCCATTGGCAGGCAGTTTAAAGTTTGCACTGATGCTGCTGTCTTGGCTAAATCTCCTCTGAAAAACTAAAATTAAAACTAAAGTAAACCTCATGATATTAGAAAGGTCAAAACACCAAAATGAGATGAGGCTGCAAACACAAGTTATTCAGTCTATGATGTCTATACAGCTACAGTTACCAGTTTACAGTACATCCGTCAGACACGTGTGTGTCAGGGTGCATTTGGATGCACATACCTGGGAGATCTCCCTGAGTTTGTCGCTTGATGCTCCCACCACCACACAGGCTTCCAGCAGAGCAGGAGGCAGATGGTCCGTCATCGCTGACACCAGTTAGACCAGCAGAACTGGGCCGACTCTGACCTGCTGGATCACAACCACTGAAACAAAGACAAGTCAGAGAGAGGAGCCAAGGAAAGGTTTACATACAGAGATACAGATAACAGAAAATGGCTTGTGTGTAATAAGGCAGACGTTGCGACAGCTCTGTCATCTTCACCGATGAGAACATCTATCAGCTGGATTAAGTCACAGCACATGACACACATTATCACTGCTGCTGTTCTCATCAACAACAACTTCTAAAGACCCAGTCAGACACTTTTTTCTATCACAGGATTATTCCAAGACTTAGGGTGTACAAATGGCATCTCTGAAAGTTTACCCCTCCTCCATCTCCTCCTCCTTCTAATGGCATTTGCAAGAATCCTGTGTCTGAACAAAAACAAATAAATCAACCAACCAATGATCAAATATGAATCAAGACTCTGTTACTGCATTGCTTATTTCTCATACATACGCTTACTCAACATAATTTTGTGTACTATTTAGGTGTAAAATGAGAAAGTTGGCTCTGGCTGAGGTGACGTACTGGGTTTTGGGTCGACTTTTTCCAACATGGTGGCCGAGTCAAAAACTCTGGGTGCGCTCTGAATCGCATAGTTTTTCTTTTTACTTTTTTAGCAGCTGCCCTTAAAAAGTATGTACTGTTGCATGCAGTATGCACACAGTTGGGATGTACAACTTTCTGATTACATTACACCCTGAAATTTTACCCTCTTACTTTTATATCCGTTACTATGGAGATATAACAAACACTACGTACAGAGGTCAATCCATAGAGCTCTGCTGTCATTACTATGCAATCTATGTAGTTTAACTTTAGAATTATAACTGCACAGATTGTAGATTTGTGACAGTGAAAGTAAATCTGCAATTCTATAGTATATAGTTTTGTTCTATTACTGTTTACAATAATCATGATTATTTTCATCACTTAAACAATCAATATTCCTATTATTACCATTTCCTGGTCATCAGGTACTTAAATGCACCGTCATCCATCACTGCGACTTCTGACAACTGTCAAACAGCTGTCAGTGAGCTGCTGTGGCTCAGTCGATGTGACATATAGTCCGCTGTGTAGAGGACTGTGGGTCAGAATAACCAGTAAAGCATGATGGCTTTCATACTGCAAAATCAGACCGGATGTACTAGAACATCCTGGTATTTTTGGCATACTGCATTTGACATACTACGTATTGAGACATAATAAATCTTCTTTATAGCATGGTGGTATGGATATTTGGATGCACAGATTCTCTCTACCTGGCCGCCATGTTGGAAACAGTCCAGACAAAACCAAGCACCACCCACCTTGATTTATATTGGATCAGTTAGCTGGTTTTCTTTAGCGTGAAACGGAGCCAAGTGGAGGTGGAGAAGTCTACTGTTCTTTCAGACCACTTGAATTACAATATGCTGAAATGTTTTTTATGGGACTTTTGCCCAATTGCGGCAAAATTAAACTGCCTACCCCAGCTTTAATATGATTATGACATTTTATGAAAATCTACTAGAAACACTCAACAGCAAAGTGCTTTATAGAAAAAAAGGTTTAAGATTTAATTCACAATCCAGAGATTTACTTTGTCTGCAACTGAATCATAAATTTGGCATTAATTTCCCAATAAACACTATCAAAAATGCAGCATCACTGCTATGTTCTGAGGGCAAACAATGACATGGTTTTAAAGCAAATCCCATAATGGTTAGTGTTACAGGCAGCTAGTCTGGGCAGTGCATTTATATCAACTTTACAGTAGTACAATGTCTGCATTTATCTGTCTAATACACTGTGATATTGATTAGTGCTGTAATCTGTCTCAAACAATATGTTGCTTATCAGCTTTTAGTTTGTGGTCCATGAAGTTCAAAGGAACCCGTAAACAACTCAGGAACAAAAACTGAAGTAAGCTGATTCAAGCCATGTGGTGGCAACACATGACACAGGATTTAGTTCATTATTCAATTAGTATTTTTCACTGCACATCCACATAATGTGATAATAATTCTGCTTTTCATCTTTGCTGTTCTCTTTCCATCTGTGGTCTACTTTTTATTTTACAACTGAATCACCACAGTGAGGAGCAAATTATCCGAGATCACATTTTGCCCGTTTCTTGGTCTAATGTCTTCTTGGAAAATTAGGCTCATGTGTGCAGAGGAGGATGGACATGTACGCACAAAAACACAGAGCAAATAACTAGCAACTGGGCCCCACAGTAAATGACATTACATGTTGTAATGTAAAGTTCTCTCATTATTTTACTGTTAAAGGTTGTTTGACTGTTGCAACAGTGTAGCGCTGTTCACTTGTTTGAACTTAAATGATATCTAATCCTCAGCATCAAGAATGTCCGGCATAACTGAACTAATAACCCATTAAAGGAGCATCTCACATGACCTGCTGCTGCCCCTATTGGTCCAAGGATGTGACATGATCATAATCACATACAGTACGATCATATGATCCTTGACAAGCAGAGCACATTCCACATCAAACCGTAGCAAAACAATAAAAGTGTCACAGCTTCTGATACGACACAAACAAGCTGACATTTCTATCTACAAAAATATGTTAAAGCTTGAATACCTGAAACTGCTGGGGACTTTTAAAATAGTAACTCGCCTTTAAAATCCATTTAAAAAATTGCAATATGTCTTCATCTGTCCTATTTAACCAATGTTCAGACCAATATAATAAATGTTTTGGGACCATTTAGTAGTTCTGGTAGTTTAGTTTTTTGGTTCCTGTTGAGCCTTAGGAGTTTTGTAAGTTGTAACTGTTACTGTATAATACAGGCACTTTTTTCCGCAAAATGTAGACGTTTAGATGTTAGTAAACATTTATTTTAAATACTATCTCTGCTTAGAGTCTGAGCCCTTATTATAAAGATTCAGATAATTCATCAGGATGTCCCACATCACATCCCCACTTGTCTCATGATTTGTACTTGAGCTAAACTAAATCGTCCAGACCTAAAGTTATGGATGCATTACTGAATTGGTCTATCAGGTATAGGCCCAGGGACCCAAAGTGTCAGGAGCCCCACTGGCCTCCATCTGCAAAACATGCATCAACCAGGAAGAGACTCAAAAAGACAAAAAAAAAAAAAACAAAACACAAAAATGCTTCAAAGAGAAACATATTGACCTTTAAAGAGACACAAAACAATTATAAAGAGACATAAAATGACTACAGGGAGATGTAAAGGAACTACAAAGATACACAAATCTACCTCAAAAGAGTCTTTTAACAGACAAAACAACAACAAAGACATGCAAAGGACTTACAAGAGACACACAAGGACCAAGGAGACACAAATATACCTCAAAGAGACACAAATTACTTCAAAGAGACACAACATGACCACAAAGGCAAAGGAACTACAAAGAGACACACAAGGACTACAAAGAAACACAAAATGAACAAAATGGACACAAATATACCTCAAAGAAACAAAAATAACTTCAAAAGAGACAAAAAACAACTACAAAGAGACACAAAACAACTACAAATAGAAACAAAACAACCAAAAAAGATGCAAATATACCCATAAGGGTCACAAAGTTACTTCAAGGAGACATAAAACAACCTGAGGAACACACAAAGAACTACAAAGAGACACAAAACAACTACAAATAGAAACAAAACAACCAAAAAAGATGCAAATATACCCATAAGGGTCACAAAGTTACTTCAAGGAGACATAAAACAACCTGAGGAACACACAAAGATACCACAAGGAGACAAAAAACCGACTAAAAGATGCTGACAAGTACATTGAAATGAATAAAAAGCCTGTGTCTTGCTCCAATGTAGGACAGGTGGTGGGGCCTTTTGCATGTCTGTGCCCAGGGCCCCATCGTCTCATTATCCACCCGTGCCTGAGGGGGTCATGCATGCAATGGGACTGAAAGTCTGCACAGTCTGAATCAAATGTGCCCTTAAATCACAGGTTAACTTGTGTGACAAGACAGAACTGGAGTGGAGAGAACTAACACAGAGAAGCATGAGAAGGGTCACTGTCATTCCTGCACAAGCTGGCAAACACAAACATGATCTAAAAACAAAAACATCTGACTGGTGAAATCAATTAGGTGGAAATTAAAAGTAGAGCAAAGCAAAAATGTCTTATAATAAAACTTAAACTCATTGCTTTGATTTCAGTTTGACTCTAGTTGTTTAAATATCTCCAGCACAGATACATGACTTCAACAATCAAATGTAGGTCATCTCACCTGATGAGGAAATACTGACTGGCATGTGTCAAGCTAACACCACTGTCACACCCTGTTTGTATTATGTGACAACATATCAATTTGAAGCCACATTTCTGCCTCCATGACATAAAGTAAAAAACCAAACTGCAGCAGCAGAGTTTTCCAAACTGCAGAGAGGACTTCAGCTGACACAGTTTTATTGCGACGTGATGGTGAGTCACAAGCTGCACAGGTGAGAGGATGCTTCCAATCAGTCTCTGAGACTCGACTTGTCAACGTCACGCTGTTGAATCTTTAAACTGTTAAAAGTTCTCTTACCTCCTCACAGGCTACCGTGCGGCTCCTCAGTCATCCCCCCGTCACTGTCATGAAGGCAGCCCGGACTAAAGTCTCTCCAACTGCGCAGCAAACTCCGGCACGACTAAATAATGGCACGAGCTCGTCCCTGTTTCCATGTTTACCGCCTGTCACTCTGCTTCCTGTTTCTCTGCGTGGAAGTACAAACATGCGCATTGATAGTTTGAGGAAGCACTGCAGTTTCATACAAAGCATGTAAGTCACTCAACAATGACGTGCCTTTTATGTTTTGTCACAATTTGGCTCTAATATAAATGTATGAAGCATCAGTTACAACCCTGTGAAAACTTAACAGGCTGGAACATTAAAGGTCCAGTGTGGATTTACTTCTGATGGTGGCTTTGCACCTATTTTGCCACCAGTTTGTTTCTTGAAGTTCTTTTCACTAAGTGGAAGATAATCATTCGTTCATACATTTGTTCACTTGCCGTTACCACTTATCCTCTCAGGGGTCGCATGGGACATTTGCATTTCATGGGTAACACCCCCTAAATAGCCTACTATATAAGGACATGTGTTGTGCTGTGTGCAGATACTCAAGAATTGAAGAGGTGCCACCAATAAAATCTGTAAAAAGCATATCAGTTAATGCACGATAAAGAGATAAAGACATTTATTTTAGTCTTGCTCTTCCCCCATCCAGGAAACAGATGATCTGATCCTCATCAACATTGATAAAGGAAGTGTCTCCACTTCTTATTCTGAGACTCTTGACCTACCAGAGATTCCTCCGGCTGCTGCAGACTGCTTCACACAGAGGTGCTCACTGTAATGCAAAGAATGTTGTGACTACTGATCATTGCTACTAATACAGATATACAAATAAAATAGCGGCATATTGATTTGGACTTTTTTTGCAGGTGGGTGTCAGTCCTTTCAGATTCATTTTGACCTGTGTCAGTGCAGCCATGCAAGCTGCTCAGAGGAGAGCATGGCAACACAACCTCAACCACGACATCCAGAGGATCACACTGGAACTGATGGTCAACATATTCAGGTTGTGTGTGTGTTCTTTGTGTACTGAGATCTACCAGGATGGCTCCCCTGAATAAATATTTTGTTAATGTGTACATGTGTGCATATAACAGGGATGTTAGCAGTCATCTGAACTATTAACATCGAGTGTTTAACAGTGGAGAGCTCCTGAAAACCAGAGAGCCAGCTGAACAGCTGTTTTACAAAAAGGTAAGTGCTATCTTAAACCCTGTTTGCACAGGAGCAGTGTTACCAGGGGACCTCATGTACCAGCACGACCACTGACATTAGCCCCTGTAAACGATGTACACAATCATTGTAAACTCCACTCAAAACACAGCACTACTAGTAGTGATGTACAGTGTTAACCTTCTTTTCTTTTAAATGCAGGTTAAACAAACAGAACTGATTCTGCCACACATTGGGCCTCATGCAACAACAATCTCTCTCTTATATTTTTCCCTCATTTTCTGTTAAGAGAAAACTCTTAACTCTAGATGCAACAAACCTTTTTAACCATCCAAATCTGCTCTTCTGCTGAATGATGAATCCCACTTGATCATAAATAACCCATTAGGTAACACCACATAAACACTATATAAGCATGTGTTGTGCTGTGTGCAGATACTCAAGAATTGAAGAGGTGCCACCAAAAAAGTCTGTAAAAAAAGAAGAACTTCTGCAATAGATAAACTGACTTACTGTCACTGTAAATGAACTTAGAAAAAATAGCAATGACAAAACAAGTGTGAAGCCCTAAATGTCGTGTCAGCAGCAGTGGTGGAGGAGATGTTCAGATTCTTTACTTAAGTATAAGAATTAATACCACTCTGTAAAAATACTCAGTTACAAATCATTTGTTTTGGAGAAGAAGAGACCACTGTGGATGATGCGACCCCAGAAGAACTTCCTGAACAACATACACTGAAGGAATTTTATCCTTAAGTTAAACGAGAAATTTCAGTTGGTTGCCATCTGCAGTCCTCACTGTTAGATGCCACTAAATCCTTCACATTAAACCTTTAAATTAAATTATTTAAATTAGAATAAAAGGCATTAGCAACGGTAAGCTTTACATTAAAACACAGGGATTTAATATGTCTAATAAAAAAAATTATTGTAGCCAATGTGATATTTACTTATTGACTGTCACATAAAAAAATTGTGGATTTACGTTTACACTAAATTTAATCCTGTTGTAATAACCCACTGCCTGAAGATGGCAGTGGTTCACTAATTGAGGATTAAATATAGTCCCCAGTTTTTAAATAAAAATACAAAATAATAATAAAAAAAACATTGGACAGAAACCACAAAAGATAAAATAACCACCCAAATAATTTAACAAATATTAATTTTTTTTCATATTGCTAAAACAGTAGTTTATATTTTATAACATCAACTGAGTCTCATTATGAGTTTGCAGAAAGGATTATTTTTCTGGTAATAAAGGGACAGCTCACCTCAACATCAAACATACATATTTTTACTTTTACCTGTAGTCCTATTCAGTATTCTAGAGTGTTTTGGTGTGAGTTGCCAAGTGTTGCCAAGATATTGGCTGTAAAGACGTCGGCCTTCTCTCCAATATAATGTCTCTTTCCAGAAATCATAACTCGGTTACTCAAGATAACACACAGACTTTGCAGTGAGCAGTTTCATGTAGGAACTATTTTCTTTCTACCAATCTACACCCACCAACTGTATCTCTGCTGAAGAAGAAGGAAGCGTGCGTCTACTGCTAGCTCCCCTAGCACCACAGCCAAGGAAGACACCATTTGAATTTTCATCTGGTGCTGTCACAAGCACGAGCCTCTTGTCCATGAGTAGATGCACGCTCCCTTCTGCACAGCGATACAATTAGCAGGTGTACTTCGGTTATCAAGTGAATTTGTGACAAATTACGTATCCCTATTTAATGTAGTTGTTGCTGTTGAGGATTCTTTAATAGCATTGTACATCTGGAAACTTTTTTTTCAGATCAGCAGCAGTTGTGAACGTCTTGGATTTGTATCTTTAGTGGACTGTAAGCACATCTGGTTCACTATCTCATGAACTAAAGATGTGAGTACTCTGTTTTCTGTCTCTGCAACACATAGATGCAGTTGCTTGTGAACTAACCAGAAATGTGGCTACCTTCATTTCTTTCGAGTAATTTGGGATGGCACACAGCAAGGGGCTGCAGGGTTGGAATTGAACCTGCACCACTGCAAAGGACTCAGCCTACATGGTGTGCACACTCTACCTGTTGAGCTAGAGGTCGCCCCCAAACCTTTATTTCTTAATGCAAAGTCTGTCTGTAGCACTTCTACCTGAATACTACAAGTCACACTCCCTACTGAACTCAGTCAGTTTCCTGTTGCGTATTGCTTTAATTGTGATGTAGTTTCATCTCCTTTTTTCCTTTTACAATAACTAAACATTCATAAAAGTATATACAGAAGAGAGCTAATGAAGAGTACACATAGAAATAAGGTGTAAAAAACACAGACACAAGTGAAGGTCCATTATAGTCTTTTTTTTTTTTTTTTTCAAATAACTGGTACAAAAATACCTTGATCACATTGTACAAAAGTCTGTGCAGCAGCAAAAAGAACCCAAAATCACTTAAAAAAAAAAAAACACCAGTGATTGGCTTTCAAACCAAAACATAGAATATCATCCTAAAAATCTTAACGTTTCTCTAAAAATCAAAACTATTTCAATAAGCCTGTTCCGAGAAACTCTTATTCAGTACGGTAGTTTGGCACTAAATACGGAGTGTCTCCTCCAGTGTGAGATGGAAACGTCTCTGAAACATGTTAACCAGCTGAAGTGAAATTACATACCGAACTGACACCAAGTTAATGTGAAAGGAATGGAAGCGGTGGAGAGAACAGGAGGCTTTGGTTCACCTGCCTGTTTCCTCTGATAAAACTGTACAAAAGAAAGTTTAAATGTGTCCATGAAGGAATATTCCTGTTCTACTTTGATTCAGAGGGACTCATCTTTACACAAAAGCTGGAGATTTAGTATCTCACATTGCTTAGAAAACATAACCAACAGCACACACCCCATGTCACACACACACAAGCAGAGTCTGCGTTATTATTCACGGGGAAATTAGTGATTAAGTATGTCATTTTGTTTTAATTCTCTCAACACTTCCCCTTCAATATATGATGAAAAAACAAACAAACAAAGGATTGTCCATTTGTAGTGCTTGTAAAACAGCCTGTGTAAACCTGGAGGCTGTAAAGGCTCATTAATACTCAACGTTAGGTACACATACACACACAGACGGGACTTTCTGTCCGTACTTTGTGTTCACGTTGTTCATGTTTCTGCACGTTCGGTGGAAGCTTGTGGACGGGGACAAAGCAGAGCAGTGCCACCTAAAATTGTGGGTGTGGTGTAGCAAGACACAGGACACAACAAAGACCACAACAGACCACTGCCGTCTACCACGCCGCCTACATTAAAGGATAAATTATTGCGACCTCCCCCACCATCTTCATGTTTGTTGTAAGAAACTTCTGACTTTGCTCCCTGGTGGATGTATTTATGTCCACATAAGGGACACATGGAAGAATAATGGCAGTAATTGTCAAAAATGAATGTGTCTATTTTCATACATAAAGGGATTATAAATGGGCCCTAAGTCCTTGGTGACAGCGATCACACCATAGAGGACATTTTTCTGTCATCACAGGCAAAGTGATGAAAGCTAGCAGGAAACAAGGTCCCAACAGAGGCTGTTGGCATCACCCATAAACGGGTAAAGAAGTTTCTTAAGGGCTTGATGATATTAGAGATCTTGCTTCAGTCAGATTGTAAAATTCACGCTGTAAACCAAAAATTTGTGCAATATTTTCACTAGTTTTCACTCGTGCTACCTCCGAGTACAACAAGGAGGAAAGTGAACCAAGAAGATCCTGTGCTTTTTTTTTTTTAAGGTTCATTTGGTAAAAACAGCCCAGCCAAGGCAATTTCACGTTTGCATAGATCAGCTGTTAGCCTTGCATTTAGGTCCTCTCACCCATTCAATATGCAGCATTATGGGCTTCTGAAGCAGCTTTAGACCATGTGACATTAAACCTTCCTAATTAAAAAACATAATGCACCAATTACGCTGCTCTGGGTATTTAATCTAACTCATGTTTAAGAGTTATGAGGTTCTGCTGAAGATGAGCCTTCAGAGAGGAGAGACTGGGCCTGCCAACAGAAACAGCAATCCCTTTGAGACAGCGCATTTCTGTATTTTTTTGATTGACTAGATATGTACCACGATGAACAGGTTTCCAATTTCCAATGTATGTGGAATGTTATTTTCAAAAACGTCTTTTACATTCAGTAGAAAGCAAAACAAATGCCACCTCCAAAACAAATCACACTGAAACCCAAAAAACACTTGAGGTCAAATTGGAGAGGCCATGACACTATTATTTAAGGCGTAAATTCACCAAAAAAAAAAAAAAAAAAAAAAAAAATCCTTGTTGAGACGGACTTAATAATTTAAATAAAAATCAGTGTAGATAACAGATCAGTGGTGCCAAAAATACATCATCACAGCTGCTGGTGAAATTACTTAACTATATGTTATGTTTCATGTGTGTCATGGCATGAAAGGAGAATATCGCATTCAGAATTTTAGTATGTTTTTGTACAGGCGTGAAAACTTGCCATGTAACAGATTCCAACAGTGTAAATGTGAATAAAAAAGTGTTTGATGTTAAACTGTTTTGTTAAGTCTGCAGCAAATGTGGAAGGCTTTACCTGTAGTTTGGAAACTTCCTGGCATTTATAAAACTTAGGTGTTCTATTAACAAACTGGAGCTAATCATACATCAGTAGTCAGTCTACATGTAATGCAGAGGTACACACTTTTACAGCACTATGATTGTCCATTCAGCGTTAAGGAGCAGCTTCTGTGAAGTTAAATATCCACTGACGTTATTCTGCAGCATCGGTGTGACAGTACTGTTCAGGAGTGAGACGGAAAGTGCTCTGTGTGCTTC